TTGAAGTCTATGGCTTGAAGGGCTTTCCCATCCTGATTCTGAGACAAGGCCAACTTAAGCTCAGATCCTGAGGCTGAACTCCTAAAATGCTGTCATCACAGTGCAAATGCTTGTGGGGGAAAAACAAGATGCTCTTCGTTACTTTCTCGTGGCACCGAGTAGGGCCTGCCTTGCGTTGTGGGTGATTTTTTCCATGATACATTTCTCGTTCTCACATCTGTGCATTCTCCCTGAGGGAGGGAAAGTGGAAGACACAGGGCCAGGAGAAAGATAGCCAAAATTCTTCCCAGTGAACGTCTTGCCCCACCTCTGCACCAGATTCCTTGTTGAAATGTCTCTGGACCAAGCCTGCCCCTAGCCATCACATAAAGATAGGAGCTATGGGTGTAGCCAACTATTGAGGAAGTCAGGAAAAGGAGGAGTTGGGGGAGAAGTGAGTTCTGGACTCTCACACCCAGACTGCTGTATGGACAGCAGCTTCTCTGGGACCCGTGTACTAAAAAAGACAGGAGAAAGGATGAGCATGCCCGGAGACCCAGCCCAGCCAGACCCTGAAGGCTTCAGAGGGTGAGTGGCTCTTATGTCAAGCTTTCCCTGTCAGGGACAAGAGAATGCAAGAGTTCTTGGACTTTGGGGGCATCTACAAAAGTCAGGAAACCTGAGCTCTGCTCTTGTCTGGTTTACTTCCAAACTGTGCAATCTTGGGTAAGTCGGCAGTCTTTTCTAGGCCTGTTTTTTTTTTTTGTTTGTTTGTTTGTTTGTTTTTTTTAATCTGTAAAATAAAGAATTGGCCAAGGCAAGACTAATAACAGGAGCTAGCCTTTACATAGTGCTTGCCAGTTGAGCTTTTCTGAAGAGCATCTCATTTGGTCCTCAGGGCAGTCCTTTGCTGGAGGAATGCTTGTTGTATTTCATGGGGAAACTAGAGTGCAGTGGGTGAGCTACTCAGTTGGTGTGAAGCCAGGCTGGACCTGTAATCCTATCTCCTGGGGATAGTTATGGCCTCTGTGAACACGTTATTCCCTGGAGGTCTGGACTCTGAAGAGCCCCAGCTCTTGTCAGGACTTCTTCTCCGTCGGTGCTGCCTTCTTCCCCCCATGCCCTCATCCCCTACCTGTCACAATGTTTCAGTCTCTTCTCCATCCCCTTCCTAGAGTTACCTTTCTCATTCTGCATGTTGACACTACTAATATTTCTGAGAAGAGGGAGGTGAACCCCAGATACCCACCCCATCTCCACCCTCCTGGGTCAGGGACCACTGTTATGCAGTACATTTTCCAGAGTTCTCTCTGCTTTCTGGAATGTCTTCCTGGGAAGTCTTGGGAAATCAAGAAAAGGTAAGAATAGCTGAAACCGGTTTGGCTCAGTGGATAGAGCGTTGGTCTGTGGACTGAAGGGTCCCAGGTTTGATTCCAGTCAAGGGCATGTACATTGGTTGCGGGCACATCCCTGGTGGGGGGTGTGCAGGAGGCAGCTGGTCGGTGTTTTTCTCTCATTGACATTTCTGGCTCTCTGTCCCTCTCCCTTCCTTTCTGTGGAAAATCAATAAAATATTTTTAAAAAAAAAAAAAAAAAGAGGAAGAAAGGGTAAGAACTGATGAACTCTCAGGGCGTGGTTCATTTTTCCAGATGTGACCCTGGGTCACAGACATCCAGGGTGTTGGTTAAATGGGCAGATTCTTGGGTCCCACCCCAAAATTGTATTTTAGCCAACTTTCCCTGTTTCTGACAAGCACATATCAGACAGTTTGGGAACCAATGATCTTTGTTTTTGTTATTGGTTTTGTTTTTTGTTTTCCTCTTTTTTGGGGGGGAGAATCGGGGTGGTGAGATCACTATTCTCTAGCAGACCATTGCTCTGCTGCAGAGGCTGTGGAGAGATTTCATAATAGTCCCTCATTATCCTTGTTTTTCTAGAGTAAGCCTTTCCTGATGACAGTGGATTATTAATTTTAAAATAGACTTCAGGATTTAGGTTGGTTATATTTTAGTTTGAGTTTTACATCTCTATAAGTTAAATTTGTCTAGGATTGATTTTTTTTTTTTTGTATGCTACCTTTGTAAAATAAGTTGGAAACCTTACTATTATTTTCTATAGTCTGAGATAGTTTGATATTGGATTTATTCTTTGAGGAATAAATAGAACTCGGTTGTAAAAATAAAGTGGGTCTAACATTATTTTAAGTGGTTGACATTTAACTGCCTTTCTAATTTCTTAAATGATTATTGGTAAGCTCGGGTTGTTACTTCTTGAAATTAGTTTATTTCTCAAAATTCACCAATACTTTTATATTTGCACTTGATACTCTTATATTTCTGTAGCCCTACTTTTTCTGGAATTCTATTGTCTTTGTTAATGATAATGTTTTTGTTTTGTTTGTTTCACTTCCTTTCTTAATCATGATTTTCTATTTAGTCTTTTCAAAGAACCAACTTGTGGTTTTCCAAGTACAAGTCTTTTACCTCCTTAGTTAATTTTATTCCTAAGTATCTTAATTTTTTTGTAAATGGGATTATTTGTTTAGTTTATCTTTCTGACAATTCATATTGGTGTATAAAAATGCCTTTGATTTCTGGGTGTTGAATTTGTATCCTGCTACATTGCTGAATTCCTTTATTAAATCTAGTAGTATTTTTGGTGGAGTCTTTAGGGTTTTCTATGTACTATCTGCAAATAATGAGAGTTTTACTTACTCCTTTCCAATTTGGATTCCTTTTATTTTTTCTTGTCTGATCCCTGTGCTTAGGACTTCGAGTACTATGTGGAACAAGAGTGTGAAAGTGGACATCCCTGTCTTGTTCTTGCTCTTAGGGGAAATGGCTTTAGTTTTTTTCCATTGAATATGATGTTAGCTGTAGGTTTGTCATATATGGACTTCATTCAATATGATCCCTCTATTCCCACTTTGCATATATATATATATATATATATATATATATATATATATATATATAATGAATGTTGGGTTTTGTAGAATGCTTTTTCTGTGTCTATTGATATGATCATGTGGTTTTGTCTTTCAATTTGTTTATGTGATGCATCACATTTATTAATTTGCAAATATTGTATCAGCCTTGCATTCCTGGAATAAATCCCACTTGATTATGGTGTATGAACTTTTTAATATATTGCTGGATCTGATCTGCTAATAACTTGTTGAGGATTTTAGCATCTATGTTCATCAGAGATATTATCCTGTAGTTCTCTTTCTTTGAAGTGTCTTTATCTGGAGGTCCAGTGCACAAAATTCATGCAAGAGTAGCCCTTCCTTCCCCTGGCTGCTGGCACCAGCTGGCACCAGCCTCCCTCTGGCACCTGAGACCCGGGCTTTCCTCCACCTGCAGTCAGGAACCAGGGATCTTGGCTTTCCTCACTACCCCAGCTTCATCCAGAAAGTCATCCGGAAGGACATCCAGTCTAATTAGCATATTATGCTTTTATTATTAGAGTTAGGTGCTTATTTATTGTCCTTTTAATTCTTCTTTTTTAAAAAAAATATTTTTTTTTCAGAGAGGAAGAGAGAGGGAGAGAGAGAACCATCAATGGTGAGAGGGAATCATCTATTGGTGCCTTCTGCATGCCCTCTACTGGGGACCAAGCCTGCAACCCATGCATGTGTCCTGACCAGGAATTGAACCATGATCTTCTGGTTCATAGGTCGACGCTCAACCTCCAAGCCATGCCAACTGAGCCCATTTTAATTCTCTATCCCTATGTTTCTCTTTATATATATTTCTTCTTCTCATTACAGCAGTTCCTGTAGCATTTCTTGCAGTGTTGGTTTGGTGGTGATAAACTCCTTTAGTCATTTTTTTGTTTGGAGAGCTCTTTACTTCATCATCTATTTTGAATGATAGCCTTGCTGAAAACGTCACTGTCATTCTGTTAATTTCTCCCCACCCATCCTCCTCCCATGCATTCCCTCTGAGATTCATCAGTCTATTCTATGATTCAATGTCTCTGGATCTATTTTATTCGTCAGCTTGTTTTGTTCATTAGATTCCACACGAGTGAGATCTTGCTCTAATTGGCTTATTTCACTTCGCATAATACATTCCAAGTCCCTCAAAGAATAAGAGATGGTTCTTTTTTTACCTCTGTTCAGATCTCTGGATAGCTAGCTCACAGGGGATATTCTTGGGTTATTGTAGAATAAGTCTTGGACCTGGAGGGTCAAAACCTGAAGTCTGAGTCTTGGTGTGGCTTGTATTAGAAGTGTTCAAGCAGAGGGTGGAGGCACTGGGGCATGATGGAAAAAACACTGGCCTTGGATTTGAGCTTTGTGTCTAACTTGCTGTGTAACTTTTGCTGAATTACTCCACTGCTCTGAGCTTATTTCCTCCTTATAGAATGGCATATTCCAACAGATTGCCACAGAGACCAAAATAAGTAGTGGGTGGGAAGTTTTTGGAAGACAGTATAGAGCTGTATAAATGTGAGTGGAAAGTCACTGTCATCCTTTTAACAGCACTCTGGGAGCAGCATTATCCAACCTTATTCCTATAGTTTAGGGGTCATTTCACTGGGGCCCTATTATTCCAGTACCTGAAAAAACATGAGCCTGGACCAAATGATACTAGATGACAGGAAGAGACAGGATCTTAAAGACAGAAAGAAATACCTGTGTGGAGGCTCCTCTTCCATGGCCCAAATATTTTTTAAAAAATATATTTTATTGATTTTTTACAGAGAGGAAGAGAGAGGGATAGAGGGTTAGAAACATCGATGAGAGAGAACCATCGATCAGCTGCCTCTTGCACACCCCCCACTGGGGATGTGCCCACAACCAAGGTACATGCCCTTGACCAGAATCGAACCCAGGTCCCTTCAGTCTGCAGGCTGACGCTCTATCCACTGAGCCAAACCGGTTTCGGCTCATGGCCCAAATTGATTCAACCCCTTGGGAGGCCCATGGCCCTAGTTAGAGGAAGGAAGAGGTCCTGGGACACTATAAGCCCTAAGCCATCCCAAATTCATAAACCTGTCTCCTTTGTCTCAGTATCATGAGTGCCAAGGAGGATGCTAAGTGGCTTCAGTGGGTGACACAACAGTTTGAGACCATTGCTGGACAAGACCGGGAGATCAACCTGCAAGAATTCAAAACAGCCTTGAATGTGAAAGAGGCAAGTATCCACTCCAGAAGTGGGGACTGTGTTTACAGAGGAAGACAATCTGGTTCCCAGAACACAGTGCCTCACAAGGAAGGAATGGTCCCCTCTGGGTTCTCTGGGTTTCCTCTGGGGTTGAGGCCCCACTTCTGAGCAGAAATGGAGGGTGTTTCTGTCTCTATTACTGGGGCCCTTCCTTCCCTCTTGGTAGCCATGCCTCATGTGATCTTCAAAACCACACACAAAGTTGGAAATCAGTAGCCTTTCAAATCTTAAGAAATATGTATTTGACTTCACAATTTCCACTAGCTTCAGGGGTAGGGAGAGAGTTGATGCTATGGTGTAAGCCTCCTTCCAGAAATGAGCTTCTCCCTCAGCCACATCATTCCCAGTCTTCCTTCGAATTTCTGGGTCCTCTGCACACCCCATAACAGCCTGCATACCTGACAAATAGTGATGACACTAGAAGAGAAACAGCAGGACTGAGCCTGCAAATGCCAGCTTCTCCCCAATTGTCCTCTGGGCTGGCATCAGATAATGGCCTATGTTCTTGATAAGGGGGAGCCAATGAACATTTGAATGTCCCTTTTTGGATTGGAGGGTTCCTTACTTGCTGGTACCTGGGATACTGCAAAGAACTCTAAATGCTCTGTCTCCTTCCATTGTAATTATGGGGAAGGAAAAAAAAGACCTTCTGCCTAACAAAACATTACCATGATAACAGGAGGCTGTAACATGTTTTAAGATAAAGGCCATTCAGGAAGGTAGAGAGTGACAAAGGCATTACTCAATGGATCCAGGGGGAAAAGAGTAAAGCCAAGGTAGGCTTGACTGTTGATCGCTGACTTCATGCTGCATGTGAACTCATGGTTTCTTTAGGTTAGACACAGGAGCCCTGAAGGCTTCTCTCTCTGCCTTGAGGGAAGCATCCGAAGCACAGAATAGCTGGGACACTGATCCAGGTCTTCTTAATGTCTCTTTCCCGGTGTCTAACGCCAGGCTTGGAAAGCAGGGGCTATGCAGAACATGATTGTTGATGGATGGATGGATGGATGGATGGATGGAGTGAATTGGCACTTTAAGAACAATCATTAAGTGTAGGCTATAGGCAGCCTAAACAAGTAAAGGAAAAGACAGGTGACATCTACTCTATAAGTCCTTCCTGGTTTCACTTATCCCTGGTGGTGACCCCCAAAGGGGATGGAGAGGACCTGGGAGAACTTGTAGGACCCTAATCTGACCCTTTCCCCAGGTTGAGTAAGAGGCCACCATAAGTCTGGACTGCAAAGCTGATGGGGTGATGGTCTACACAATCGACCAGTCCCAGAGGCTAGAAGAGGGCCTGAGCCCCATACACAAGCCCATCCTTGCTGCAGGGCTCCAAGCAGTTCATCCACTAGAGCCCAATCTTGCTTTCAGCAGGCAGGATGGGCCATGGACACTGAACCCTGGTGTGGCCTCATGGGTAGATACAACCTGGGTCCTGACTGAATCCCATCACCCATCCCCCCAAGGTGTACATACACACACACACACACACACACACACACACACACACACACACGATGAATGGATTCGAAGCCCAGGTCCTGCTGCCACATCTGTGCCTGTCTCTGCCCTTCTATGGCCACAGTCCTTTTTTGCTGAGCGGTTCTTCACCCTGTTTGACTCGGATGGAAGTGGCACCATCACCCTACAGGAGCTGCAGGAGGCACTGACCCTGCTCATCCACGGCAACCCCATGGACAAACTCAAATTCCTCTTCCAGGTGTACGACGTCGATGGTAAGGGCTCTTGTAGGGGCAAGGGGTCTCCGTGGGAGGGGACAAAGGGAATCAGCCCATCGCAGGGCTGTGCCCAGCACAGGGCTGTTTTCCCCAGGTGAGGCGGAGGGTTCTCCCTCTGTGGGTCCCCCTCCTCTACTGTTCTGGCTGGTCCTGCCTCCTTTTTGTGGTTGGGGAGAAGGGAGGACTGACTCAGGAGACAGATGCCCTTGATTCAACTTACCTGAGACCAGAGTTTTCCTTTGTCTTTTTCTCTGATTGGAAAAAAGAATATTTGTTACTTTTTCCTTATAATAATAACAATAATAATAACACAAGCCCACTATGAACATTTTAAACAGTACAAAATACTTTAAAGAAAAAAGCAAAAATTACCCAGAACATTTTTCTATACTGTCTTCTAACTGATCTCACATACACACACACACACACACACACACACACACTTTTAACTAAATAAGATTATACTATACATGCTAACTTTTATCACTATTTAACAATATGTACATTTGTTCATGTAAGACTATATTGTTTTATAACATCATTTTTTCATTGTAGTAAATATGCATAACATTAGATTTACAACTTTAACCATTTTAAGTGTACAGTTCAGTAGCATTAAGTATATTCACACTGTTAGGCAAGCATTGCCACCATCCATCTCCAGAACTTTTAATTTTTCCCACCTGAAGTCCTGGATCCATTATTCATTAACTCCCATTCTCTCCCCCCACCCATCCCCATCCTTGGCAACCACTGTTCTACTTTCTGTCTTTAAAATTTTGAGTATTCTAGGTATCTCTTATAAGTGGAATCACAATATTTCATTTAGCATCACGACTTCAAGGTTTATCCATGTACTTGCTAGGTGACAAGATTTCATTCTAAAAAACACACTAAATAATATTCTATTCTCTGTATATTCCACATTTTGTTTATTCATTCATCCATCCATGGATGCTTGAGTTGTTTTCACCTCTTGAATATAGTGAACAATGCTGCAATGAACATGAGTGTACAACTATCTCTTTGACAAACCGATTCCAATTCTTTTTGGCATATACCCAGAGATGGAATTGTTGGATCACAGGGAAATCCTATTTTTAATTTTTTTGAGGAACCATGCTCTTTTCTATAGCAGTTTGCACCATTTTACATACCCACCAGCACAAGGGTTCTAATTTCTTCACAGCCTTGCCAGCATTTTTTTTTTAATTTATAATAACCATACTGGTAAGTGTGAAGTGGTAACTCAGTGTAGTTATAACATCATTTTAAGTGGTTGTGTCATATTCCACTGTACATAGTGGTCCTATATAGCTTAGGCCATAGTTAAGATCTCTGACTCTGAGGCCAGGTTACTTAGGTTCAAATCTCAGCTCCACCAGTGTTATGGAGCGACCTGCAAGAGACGGCCACCAGCCGAAACCGGTTTGGCTCAGTGGTAGAGCATCGGTCTGCAGACTGAAAGGTCCTGGGTTCGATTCCGGTCAAGGGCATGTACGTTGGCTGTGGGCACATCCCTGGTAGGGGTTGTGCAGGAGGTAGCTGGTCGATGTTTCTCTCTCATCGACGTTTCTGGCTATCTCTCTCCCTTCCTCTCTGTAAAAAATCAATAAAATATATTAAAAAGAGAGAGAGAGAGAGAGAGAGAGAGAGAGAGAGAGAGAGAGAGAGAGAGAGAGAGAGAGACGGCCACCAGAGACAGAGATCAAAATGAATGGGCCTTTAATAAACTGGCCAGGGACTGCAGTTGCAGCACTTCACCAAGGTAAAAGCCGAAATGCAGTGCAGACCACAGGTGTTACAGCAAATTTATATTCCGAAACCACAAGAGGGGGTTAGGACAGTTACAATGACAACCAAAGGTTACAAAAGCTATTTTAGCCGTTCCCAAGGAACTCAGGGCACACATATAATGCCTGGGCATGCTTGGCCAGAGCGTGAACCGCCACCTCCCTCTAAACTCCGACTGACCCATTGGAGTGACCTACTCCACCTCCCTCTGCCCTAAGGCATCCTGCCTCCAGGCAGCGGAGGAGCTGTGCAATGTCTGCAGCCCAGAACACCAGAAATTTGACTTTGAACAAGTTACTTCACTTCTCTATGCCTCAATTTCTTCACCTATCACATGAGAACGACGATAATAATACATTTCATGAAGTTGACCTGAGGATTAAATTAGTTAGCTTAGCTAAACTCAGAACAGTACCTAGCATAGGATACACTCTGTTATTTATTATTATTTACTCAAACCCTATTACTGAAATGGAGAATTCCAGTGTCCTCCCCCTTTCTTTTTGTGGGCGGCATTATAAATGACACTGCAATGAACATCCTGGTTTTTACATATTTGGTGACTTTGTGACCTAACGGGTTTCCGAAGGCCTGGAATCATCAGGGCAAAGAGACTGGACGGGGAAAGAAGCACCCAGTGAGACTGCAATGGTGGGTGAGGCCATACAGGAGGCCATGCTTTGGAGTATCAGTAGAACGAGCAATGGGGAACCGTCAAAGAGTGTGAGCAGGGCAATCACCGGGCTAGATTTCCATCCTGAAAAGCTCAACCTACCGGCTAATCTGCTGCCGGGCAAGGTTCTCTGGCTGGTGGGGTTTCTCCAGCTCCCATGCCCACCTGGCTCAATCTAGCCAGACCTCATTCCTGGAACCCACCCCGGAGTTGGCTGGCCTGCCCACTCCATGGGCAGTTGAGCATTTTCCTCAGACCCCATTCTAGTCAGTCTTTACTGACTACTTTCTGGCCACAAGCTGTGCTCATCCCTGGGAGTTTTCAAAGACTTGAGGATGGAGAGTTTGGTCTATAACAAGAGGGACACAGGCCTACATCACACTCAAGGTCTCTTGCAGACAGAGGTGGGGAGAAAGACAGAGGGCAGGGTAGGTATAAGGAGGCTTATAGTTTTACAGAAAGTGCTAGGGGGCATTCTCTCCCAGTGGCTCCAGTTTTCACTAAGAGCCAGGGAGGGACTGAATGGATGGGCATGGAGGTGAGAAGTGTCTTTGCAGACAGCGGGAGCGTGGCCTTACGAGAGGTGCAAGAGGGGACTGTGGGCAAGCTGCAGGCTTTGCTGTGGCTGGGGATCAATCAATTCCTGCCCTCCCGGGTGATTTTCTTCAGCAATGTTCACTTAGCTGCCCTGGTGCAGGAAAGGAGAAAAGAGGTGGCTGGATTCACCCAGGGATGGGATATTTTTAGGGCCAGTGGAATAGGACAGAGGGATGAGGAAGAAGAGTGTGTGCATGAGAATAATTGTGAAGGAGGATAGACTCTGGATTTGCACATGCCCAAGGAGAACAGCTGGGTGGAGGAGAGGGCGTGAAGGGTTAAGGGAGGGACTGGTGCTCTGGATGTAGTCTGAAACCTGTTGACTAGGAAAGCTGAGGACAGGAGGTGTGGCTGGAGAGTGAAGAGTTAGACTCTGCTCTGTAATGTGGTTACATTTGGCTTTGGCCCAAATGATGATCACAAAGCCAGTAAGACTTGTCATTTATATGCAACCACCTTCTTTTACTGTGCTAAGTGCTTTATAATTAATTAGCTCTCATCCTTGATGATAATTCTGAAAAGGAGGATTTATGATCCCCATTTTCAAGATGAGCAAAATAGCATTCGCTATTGTAAAGGTCTTACAGCTCACCATCACTCAATAAGAGACAAAAGCTTGTTGCTACATGTGTGTCTATATCCAAAGCAGGCCAAGAAATCAGTAATCAAGGGTCTTGCTGTTTTTGAAGAATGAATATATGAAAAAAATGCCCCAAATCTCATCTCAGTTGATAGTTTTGGGATCCTTTTCGCATCAGTTTTAGCTACTCATGTTCGCGTAAGTCCACATGCTGGGCTTGAGTGGCCAGCTGTGACCTCTCAGGACAACATGGTTGAGCAGAGCCGGCTGCAAGTTAGGGTACAACAGGGGACTCCCCCCTCACCATCACCTCTTATACAGTTTGCCCGTGGATAATGGAGTCTCTGGGCACGTAGCTTCTTATAGATTAAGCAAGTGAGGGTATTTTCTGACAGTTGTTTTGGTCATTGAGTGATACTTAAGGAGGAGGCAGCAGGTAGCTCAGCAAGGCAGCACCGAGGCCAGAGCTTCTCCATGCTGGGGGGGGGGGGGGGGGGTTGCCTCTGTTGAGCTTGACAATAGGAAGCCACAGAGGGTTTGTGAGCCGAGGTGACACATGTCCTTTGACAGCCTGGCCTATACTCCGAAAGGAAACTGGTTGAAGGAAGATTGAGGTAGGCAAGCAGGAAAAGGTCACCTCTCTATGCAATGACTGAGCAGGGCAGAGGTGTCTGCAGGCACAGAGTGTGTCCGGGCGCAGGCCCCCACTTGGCCTCCTCCCCTCCTGGGACAGGCAATGGCTCCATCGATGCGGACGAGCTGCGCACGGTGCTGCAGTCCTGCCTGCTGGAGAGCGCCATCTCGCTGTCGGAGGAGAAGCTGGACCAGCTGACGCTGGCGCTCTTCGAGTCCGCGGACAAGGACTGCAGCGGCGACATCACCTTTGAGGAGCTCCGAGATGAGCTGCAGCGCTTCCCCGGCGTCATGGAGAACCTGACCATCAGGTGCGTACCGCCCTTCTCCGGCGTGGGCACTGTACGTGTCTGGTTTAGACTCCGGGAGCGGAGAGAGGCCTGAACTCACTCACTAGGGATTCCTCAGTCCCGCCTCCCCTGCCTAAGGTCAGCCCCGCCCACCGCAGGTCAGCCCGCCCCACCGCAGCTCAGCCTTGCCTAAACCTAGCTTAGCCCAGTTTTGCCCACTTTTTCCGCAGGGGACAGCTATAGTCATGTTTGCATTTTCTACTGTGTCTCTTCAGAATCTACTCACAGAACTAAACACCTACTAAGTGCTGGGCAATTTTACAAATATACCAGTGCATTTTATAGCACTGGTATATTTGTAAAAGGAAATCAAAGCTGTAAAAAGATTAAAGTTACAAAAGGAAATTAAAGTTATTTCACCTGAAGTAACATGCCTAGGACCACACAAGTAATTAGCAAAGGCAGTCATGTATTCAGCTTGGTTTTACAGCTACTATGTACCAGACACTGTTCTGAAAAAAGGCAGTCCCTGCTGGGCTGCATCCCAGAGGGAGGGAAGGTCGCGTATACCAATAAACAAACACATAAAGTAGAGAAGCAGAAATATAATAAGGGCCGTGGATAAATGATATCCATAGGGTGTGGACCCAAGTTTGTTCCAGATTCTGACTAGTGCCCATTTTTAGTTTATTTTTTTGTGGGTTATTTACTACAATACATCTCATGGTCTTCCATCCTTTTCGATTCTTAGGTTTTCTTTTTTCAATTGGGGAGTAAAGAGAGGTAATAAAAATAGTCACAGATCTGGAATCAGACAGAGCGAAGTTCCATCCCAGCTCCACCTAGCTGTGTGCCAGGGAGCAGTCGCTTGTGTTTCTCACTGTAAAAGGAAGCTTGCTTGCCGCAAGCTCCAGAGTTGGTGGGCTGCTGTGAGAGTGGGATCTCTAGGTTCAGATCCTGGGGTCCCCCTCACAACCCAGATGGATTCCTGCCCTCCCCAGCTTGCCTCACTTTGTCCTTCTGAGTGGAGCCCCTCTCTTGCAGTGCTGCCCACTGGCTGAAGCCCCCTGCCACCAAGCGGCACTCACCCCGCCCTCGCCCACTGACCTCTGCCTACTGGCACAATCACCGCAGCCAGCTCCTCTGCCTGGCCACCTACATCGGCCTCCACGTGCTGCTCTTCGCCCTGGCAGCCAGTGCACACCGGGCCCGCGGCGTCAGCGTCATGGTGGCCAAGGGCTGCGGCCAGTGCCTCAACTTCGACTGCAGCTTCATTGCGGTAGGAATCTGGGGGTACAGGGCAGGGAAGCGGACAGGGGCACCAATGTAGGCTCCTCATAGACACCAGGTCAGGAGGGCATCTTTGAAATCAGGGTCATTACTCAGGGGTGGAGACTGAAGCCCAGAAAGGGGCAGTGACTTGTCCATAGTCACACAGCTCATAAATAACATAGCTGACATTTTGGGGCACTTTACGTGTACCCATCAGAGTGCTAAGCACTTTCCATTGGATCGTCACAACAAAACGATAGTGGATCTGGAGGAGGTGGGGCTGGCTCCTGGGCAGGGCTCCAGCCAGAGAGAACCCTTCAAGAGGTCTCGCATGCCAGGCTAAGGAGTAGATGTAATGAATCCTCTGGGCCAGGGAATTCAGTCGCCAAGCATTTTTGCCTACGCCTACCATTGAAACAAAACAGAATACCCTTCCAACAACCCAATACATGTCTATCTATCTATCTATATATATATATAAATCTCAGCAATCGGCCGGCTGCGTAAGGACCACCAGGGGGCAGACGCTCAATGTAGGAGCTGTCCAGCGACAGCAACTTTGCAGAGTGCCCTCTCACACTCTGGGACCCCTGGGGGTGTTGGATTGCCAATTTCGGTCAATCCCTGCAGGCCAGGTTGAGGAACCCCATTGGTGCATGAATCCAGGTATTGGGCCTCTAGTTTACTTATAATTATATGCATGCCTGATTATCATTAGCCAATTGCCTTATATAATTATAAGGCAAGGTTCATTGGTGTGTTTTTTTTGTTTTCTGTTTTTGTTTTTTAGGTTGAGTCAGGGTTAGATGACATTTTTAATGGTCAGGGATGTACATCTCCCATTCAAACACTCTTTTTTTTTTTTTAAATATATTTTATTGATTTTTTTACAGAGAGGAAGGGAGAGGGATAGAGAGTTAGAAACATTGATGAGAATCATCGATCAGCTGCCTCTTGCACGCCCCCTACTGGGGATGTGCCTTCAAGCAAGGTACATGCCTTTGACCGGAATCGAACCCGGGACCCTTTAGTCCACAGGCTGACGCTCTATCCACGGAGCCAAACCGGTTTCGGCAAACAGAGGGAGGCAGGTAGGCCACTGCTGGGGAAGAAGGGCAGAGCAGAGAGAGTCAGGTGGGGATCTCTGCACCTTTGTTTTGCAGGTGCTGATGCTGAGGCGCTGCCTCACATGGCTGCGGGCCACGTGGCTGGCTCAGGTCCTGCCCCTGGACCAGAACATACAGTTTCACCAGCTCATGGGCTACGTGGTGGTCGGGCTCTCCCTTGTGCACACTGTGGCCCATGTGGTGAACTTCGGTGAGTGGCCTGGGGCTGGGGGTATGGTGGGACGTGAGCCGTTCACAACTACTCAGTTATCCAGTCCCTGAGTGTCCTGCCTGCCTAATGAATGGAGAGGGGTGCCCCCATAAGCCAGCACTCTGGACAAAAGCCCCCGCCTCCATGGGGATCTGGTGGGGTGGGATGGGGACCAAACTCAAAGGAAGGTAGAGTGGGAAGAGCTTTTCTTGTGCTTGTCTCCAGCGCTCCAGGCCCGGTCTGAGTCCAGCCCCTTCCAGTTTTGGGAACTGCTGCTCACCACGAGGCCTGGCATCGGCTGGGTCCACGGCTTGGCCTCCCTGACCGGCGTGGCTCTCCTCTTGCTGCTGCTCCTCATGTTCGCCTGCTCCAGCTCCTGCATCCGCAGGAGCGGCCACTTTGAGGTGCCCAGCCCTTGCCCCTGTGCCTCTCCCAGGCTTGGCTCCCATCTCATCTCATGCCGGTGCCCCCACAGACATGCTCCAGGCCCATGAGGGTCCCAGCCTAGTATGCATATTAGGTGCCTGAGATTTGGGTTCTGCCATTGGGCGTTGTTAATGTCTGCCAAGTGCAAGTGTTTTGCTCTGGAAGATTCTGCCTTTTCTCTGGATCATCCCCTAGTTTGATTAAAGTAGGCTCAAGATGGCACAGGGAGAGGAAGGAACATAGGCCCCCAGGGTTCTAATCCCCACCCCTCGATTTACAGGACACTCAGCTTCCTCATCTGTAAAATAAAGCTATCATCTTCTACTTTTGATATTATTTTAGTAATTAAATGAGATAACGCATGTGAAGCCAGTAACTACCTACCTGGAACATAAGTGCTCCAAAGAAGGTTAGTTTTATCTTTGCTTCCCTCTCTAACCTCCTCAAGACACAGGAGGCCACTGGGGATTTGGTTTGGAGACGCTGGCTGTCCCTGGACTGACCTGGTCACATCAGAAATAGACATATAAGGGCCAGCAGCAGCCCTTTGAAGTAGGAATCAGCGTCCTCATTTAACAATGAGGAATCTAGAGCTCAGAAATGTCCTGTACTAAACCAAGGTCCCAAGAGGGTAGCAGAGCGCGTATAACACGTATTGAAACTCCGTGCTCCGCTTTTTCTCTTCCATTCCCAGAACACCATTGTTGTCTTGCCTTTCTTTCCCCGGAGGAAGGGTCAGCGTGATGGGACATCAGTGCTACAAGGCCTTTGGGGGTGCTCCACTCTGCCCAGAGCACCCCCAGGGGGGTCCTTCAGATGTCTGCCTGCTGGCACCAGGCTCCCTGGGCCAAGTCCCCAAAAACAACAAAGCAAGGATGCCTTCCAGCCTCTTACCCAGCCCAGTTCCCAGGAGAGGGAGCGTATGGCCAAGACTCTGGGCACCATCCTTGCCTTGAACTCTAGCGGCTCATCTCTCCCCCCTCCCCCCCCCACCTCCACAGGTGTTCTACTGGACCCACCTGGCCTACCTTCCCATGTGGCTGCTGCTCATCCTGCATGGGCCCAACTTCTGGAAGTGGCTGCTGGTCCCCGGCATCTTGTTCTTCCTGGAGAAGGCCGTCGGGCTGGCGGTGTCCCGCATGGCAGCCCTGAGCATCGTGGAGGTCAATCTCCTCCCCTCCAAGGTGCAAAGAGGGCCTGAGAGGCCCAGGGGAGATGCGGAGGGTGGTAGGGTACAGCAGCTGGATATCCTATTTGGTCCCCAAGGAAAACAGGAGCCCCAGACCAGGGGAGGAGACAAGCAAAGTGAAGACCCAGCCCAGCCTCTCAGGAGTGACACCATAGGAAGGGGAATGACAGGGTGCTGCTAAAAGCCAGGACTGCAAAGGACATGCTCAGTTAGCATATGGTCAGTGGCTATGAGGTGGAGGCCCTGGCTAAGGTGACAGACACAGAAAAGGCTCAGGCCCTGGCCTGCTCTCTACGGTCCCGAGGAGAGTAGGGGATCGGCCCTTTCATTAGAGTGCAGGGCTGTGTTGGTAAGAGAAGTACAGTTCCAGGAGGAATCAAACGCTTTGCCTTTGAGAGGCCAGAGAAGACTTCAGAGTGAGGGAGGCAATGCCCTATCAGGGCTTTGAGAGTGAGGACTGACCACACATGGAAGGGCATTGCTGAAGGGGTGAGCAGGGCCGAGTGGTGAAGGTAGCCTCCCTCTGCAGGCCCCAGGGAACCTCTGAGCAGGGTGGGGAAGAGAGAGTGGTATTACGCTGATACGTGTCCCAGCTAAAGGTTTTAGTTGCTCTGTGGGAGGTGGCTTTGGGAAATTTTGCACAAATGCAGAATAGAGCGCATTAGGGCCTTGACCCTGAGCTGGGTGGTGACTGCGGGGTGAGAAGGGGGCCTGTCACAGAAGGACTCGAATGCATTTCAGGGCAGAGAGAGAAAGGAGGCTGGGACACCTCCCAGGTGTCTAAGTGACTTGGGCCATTTACAGAGAAAGGGAAGGCAGTTCAGGGCGGGCAGGGCTCTGGGTGACTTGAGCGTGAGGACATGGAAGTTAAATAATGAGGTTGCCATTTATGCCCTGGTTCTGGCATCAGACAGTAATTATTGGATTCAAATGTCATGGTTTCCTGGCCAATGTCCCTGATAAGCTATTTAACCTCTTTGTGCCTCAACTTTCTGTCCAGAACGTGGTGAAAGTATGACAGTCACTGTGAGGACTAGCGAGAACACTTAACGTGCTCCTCAGAGCTCTGGCACACAGCAAAGTGCTCAATGAACTGACACTATGACCCAGGATGATATTACCCCACGGTTTGGAATGCTGGCCAAGTGCTACCGGAGTTTCCGAGACAGAGGCGAGGACAGCCAGGGAGGGCTTCACAGAGGAGGGGGCCACTAAAAAGCAGCATTTACACCCTAAGAAGTAGAATCCAGCCACGAACCCCGCTTCAGACACAGCCTGACTCCTCCCTTCTCTGACAGTTGCCCCTCCCTGACTAGCAGATGTGCTGCAGGGGTGGTCCCCACTCAGAGGCCCAGAAAGGTCTCCGATCTGAGCTGGCCTGATTCATGGCAGAGGAGTGATGCTGGTTTCCCTTCCTTCCCCAGGTGACCCATCTCCTCATCAAGAGGCCCCCTCTTTTCAACTACAGGCCTGGCGACTACCTGTATCTGAACATCCCCACCATAGCGCGCTACGAGTGGCACCCCTTCACCATCAGCAGTGCTCCGGAGCAGAAAGGTACGCCAGGTCCTCCCCTCATTCCGATATTGACTGAGTCCCACTGGGCACCAAGCACAGCCTGGAAACCAGTCACCCGAAGGGGAGCAAAACCAGGCGTCTCCCTCTGAAACAAGGAGGCAGATGGGTAGACACGGTGGATGGCCTGGGCAGAGCTGTACCAGCCACTGCGAAGCTCACAGGGGAGGGCCTGACATGATGGGACAAGTGGTCAAGACTTTGCAGCATGTGGCGTTTCAGCTGAGCTTTGAAAGGTTAGTAGGAGTTAGTAGACAGGGAAGGAGATGGGGGAGGAGACAGAGGGGAGAAGCATAGGCAAAAGCCATGAAAGTCTAGACACATGGAACATCAGATGTTGTTGGAGCTACGGTTTGGGGTGGGGTAAGGAGGAAAGAAGGGAGGGATACAGAGAGGGAGAGAATGGGGGGACAAGAGAGAGGGTCAGAAGAGGGATGAAAGGCAGACAACGTGGCTGGCAAAGCCAGTTAGAGCCAGGTGGGACCAAGGAGGTTTTGAATGCAGAGTTGGAAGCTGGATGGCCCAGCAGGTGGGATCCCATGAAGGTCTTCAGCAGAGGAGCAGCCAGCTCTCAGGAAGGGGTGCCAAGGGGCTGTGCCAAGAACCAGGCTTCCTCACTCCCTGTGGGCATGCGCCCGTTGACCTCCAGGCAGCAGACTCCCTCACATCCTTTGCCCCAGCCCTATGCTACTCCCCTTCTCTGCGGGTCCCCAAAACCCATAGACCTGTTCAGCTGGCCCTTCCTTCACCCAGCTGTCCTCAGACCCCCCCGACCCCTGCCATGTGTGTGCCTTCCTTCTGGTCCTAGGCTGTTGTTGGAGCCACCACCCAGACCTCTGCCCTCCTGGCCAGGCCAGCAATTGGCCTTCCCACCGCAAGTGATGCTTCTGACAGTGCAGGCCTTGCGTGGCCTGTTACACTGAGCCCCTTGCTCGGCTTCATGGGTGGGGGGGGGGGGGTTCTCTGATCCATCCCTGTGAAAAGATTTAGCTTCACTTAGGATGCCTTCTAACCAGAGCCCACAGGCCCCAGCTCCGAGAGCTCAGGGTACAGATGCAAGGCCAGGGTTCCCCCGACATGAGGCTGCACAGCAACCCCCCCCTTGAGTGACCTGATTGGTGGCCTGGATGTAGAGTGGGACGAAGACAGGACTGGAGGTTGCAGAGGATGGGTTATTTTCTTTCTATTTTTCTTCCCTTTTCTGTTTTCTAACGAAGATATATGCTCTCAGAAAGTTCAGACCATATAGAAATCTGTACGGAAGAAAATTAAAGGCCCTGGCTGGGTAGCTCAGTTGGTTAGAACGTCATTCTGATACACCAAGGTTATGGGTCAGATCCTCTGGTTAGGGCACATACAAGAAGCAACCAATGAGTGCATAAAAATAAATGGAACAAGTTAATGTTTCTCCCTCTCCCTTCCCCCCCTTTTTTTCCTCTCCCCCTTCTCTCTCTCTAAAATCAGTAAATAAAAATAAAATACCATAGTTAAAAATTTAAAATCCCTCAATTCCATTCAAAGAAAACTATTGTCAATCTTTTGGTGAACAGCCCGCCAGCCAGTACATCTACGTGGATAAGCAGATTCAGGGACAGCTTTGCATACACAGGATCATACTGTTTTGCAGCCAACTTTTCCTCAGTGAATAGTGTGTCATGAAAATCTCTGCGTGTCAGTTTTTTTTTTCAAAAAGAATGTTTTCTTTTCGTGGCTGCGTAGTATTCCAGGATATTGCTATTACTCTGATTATAATGACTGTGTTTATTACATGGATGGGGTATTTATTTGGCCAGTTCTTAAAGGGGCTTCTTCAGGGACTCAGCTTGGAATCCACCTTCCTCTTGGGCCATGAATCTCCTGCAATGAGCTGAGTACTTATGGGGGCTGGGAAATACTCTGACTCTGTTTACAAAACTGTTTACAGAAATCAGGAGCGGGACTCAGGTTGGCAGCTGTGGCTGTTTTAATGCAACTGACATTTAGGGGGCCTCCTACGTGGATGACTGTGTGAGGCACTTCAGGATGCATGTGTGTGTGTGGGGGGGGGCCTCCCCACCACACACACACACACGCACGCACGCACGCACGCACACATGCACACTTGCACATGCACACGCACTTATATCCTGAAGGGTGAGGAAGCCTGGGAGAGGAGCATGGGAGGAAGTGTCTGAGGACCTGAACTCCAGTCCTGGGTTTTCAGTTCACCCCTCACAAAGCTGAGAGAGCATGCCTCTGTAAACGCAGGGCTGAACCAGTTTATTTGTGAACTTGGAAGGGGGGTGGGGGTGGGAAGAGACATCTTTATTTTCACGAACCTCTAATTGAAACAGCCTTTTCTTCATTTAGGAATGCAGATAGCCCACAATAGTGTTAACAACACCTGTGGCTTTTTCTAAATAAAAGCCATAGATTCCTTTATACCACACCGCAATTGTGGCTGATACCTCATCATTACTTCAGATTCCAGTGGCCATGCAACTCCCCAGCGGGAGTTATTTCATGTGTTAACAAAGAAGCGCATACATTCCTAAATCACACATTTGGTTTTTTTTAAAAAAATATTTTGATAACTTTCTCATCATAACTGGTTTCATTTCTTACTTTATGTATTGAAAAACCTTACCGTGAGGAGTCTATCCATTGCCTTCACAGAGCTGCCCGGACAGTCCCTGGGTTAAAAGGAAAGAAAAAGGAGGTCTCTCAGGTGCCTCCTCAGTCTAATGTTGTGGGGTCTCTCTGGTCCCCCCAGCAGAAGGGTGGCCACCTCACTCTGCCTTCCCGCCAGCCATCGACTCAACAGAGAACCTCAGGAAGCACCTGCTACATCCCAGGCACTAGGTGCAATTAAAGTCATTGGTCCCACCACCAGATGAACACCTACTATGTGCAGAGCCATTGACAGGCACCTGGCTGAATGTGGGAGGGAGATGGTCCCCACTTTAGAGAGACCCTGGCCTGATGGAGGAGGCAGGGATTCCACCCCAGGGAGCTCCTAGTGTGCTCAGGGCAGATCTGACCCCTGCTTTGGCAGAGGAGACTGAGCCTTTACTGTGGAGGCTTACATTGTCTTCACTGAGAAAATTTGCAAGGGAGAGGTCAGATCTCCATGTCACTGTGGTGCTAGTTTAGATCTGAGGAAGGACATTCAACCCAGGACTGGAGCAGCATACACCCAGCTCCAATTTCTCAGGTGAGCCGGGCCTGCTTCTCACTGGACTCCAGCATTGATAACCTCCCATCTCTTGTTCAGATACCATCTGGCTACACATCCGGTCAGAAGGCCAGTGGACAAACAGGCTCTATGAGTCCTTCAAGGCAACAGACCTAGTGCACTGTGACTCCAAGAGACTGTCGAGGAGTTTGAGAATGAGAAGGAGCCAGAGGAGGCCCCAGGTAGGTACGATGGGGAAGGAAGGGTCCACCATGGAGGCAAACCCATGGGGACCAAGTTGCTTTCTGCCCGGTTGGTGGCACCAGTCACTGAGCAGCAGTATGCCCACTGGCGGAGAGGCAATTTAAGGACCAAGGTAGCTCAGGATTGTGTGGTCCAAGAACCTTCTCAAATCTTGAGCCCTCCATTAAAAGGTGGGGGACAGCCGAAGCCGGTTTGGCTCAGTGGTAGAGCGTCGGTCTGCGGACTGAAAGGTCCCAGGTTCGATTCCGGCCAAGGGCATGTACATTGGTTGCGGGCACATCCCCGGTAGGAGGTGCGCAAGAGGCAGCTGGTCGATGTTTCTCTCTCATCGACATTTCTAGCTCCCTCTCTCTCTCCCTTCCTCTCTGTAAAAAATCAATGAAATATAAATAAAATTTAAAAAAAAAGGTGGGGGGCAATGAAAAGAGAGGGAACACTGAGGTCAGAAAAACTTACCTCTACGTCTCTGATCCAGCACTTGCTAACTGTATGGCCATGGGCTCATCCTTTAACCTCGCTGAGCCTCAGGTTGTACATTTACAAATTGACTTCCCTTTCTGACATTTAAAGGGCCAGTGGAATGAATTATTGTATTGAGTGAACTGGGCAGCATGGTCCAGATGGACCATTCATCATCACCATCAACACCATCCACATTAGCATCAGCATTGCTTTTTGAACCTGGATGAAACCCACAAAAAGCTGCCAGAGCCTGGAGTGCATACAGGCTCTGTGGGGTTCGGTAGGAATTCATAGAGATCACGGCAGCACCTGAGGAAGTAAGGATAGGTGAAGGAGATGGAGGGCGCCTGAAACTTAGTGGGCTGTACTGCCAGCCTGAGAACCCTGGGGAAGGTCCAAAGAAGAGAAGCCTCCAGGCCTGCCCTGCCCTGCCTCTACCTAGAAGAATGTGGAGCCCAGTGGGAAAACCAGGGGGAGTCCTGCCTGGTCAGACCAGAGAACCCGTCTGGAATGGTGCCAAGAGCAGAGCTTTGGGAAACGGAGGGGCAGGTAGAAACAAGAGAGCATTGTCTACTGTTAACCAGGGGAAACTTCCTGAAGGAGGAAGCTGACTTTGGAAACTAGGTGAGTTATGGCACACCGCAAATTGTTAAAAAGTCATGTTTCCTTTGGGGCCTTACACACCTCTGCCAAAAACCAAATTGGCACAACCTTTCTGGCGGGCAGTCTGGCCATAAGTGTCAGCATTTTTAAAAATATATATTTTATTGATTTTTCACAGAGAGGAAGAGAAAGGGACCAGAGAGTTAGAAACATCGATGAGAGAGAATCATCGACCAGCTGCCTCTTGCACACCCCCCACTGGTGATGTGCCCGCAACCAAGGTACATGCCGTTGACTGGAATCGAACCTGGGACTCCTCAGTCCACAGGCCGACGCTCTATCCACCAAGCCAAACCGGTTTCGGCAAGTGTCAGCATTTTAAATATCTATACCCACTGGCCTAGCAATTCCATTTTTAGAGATTTGTCCTAAAAAGCTAGTTGGACAGGTGCACAAGAATACCTTCATCACCTTGTTCATTCATTCATTTAGCACACATTTATCGAGCATAGCACCTACTGTTTCCCACATACTGTACTAGATGCTGAAGACAGAACATAGGCAGATACATTCACTGTTTATGTTCTGAAGAGACAGCCAATAAACAAATAAAATAAATACTGTGTGAAGTGATAACAAATGCTATGAAAACAAATCAAGATAAAGTAGCAATTTTCACCCTTTTTCATATCATGTCACACATAAGCTAATTACTAAAATTCTGTGGCATGCAAAAAATGTATTGTATTTTTTGCTGATCTGACATAAATAGGTATAGTTTTGATTGATTTACAAAAAAATAATAATAATAGTAATTACCTACCCTCATTGCTTCCAAGCAACTTTTTAAAAAATCAAGTGTTTATACTTGTATATAAGAACTTCTGGTATCAAGAATTAAACAATCTGATGCAACCTTATTAATAACTAATAAAATGCAACACTATTATATATATTATATATTACATATTACATATTACATATTATATATTACACGTTACACATTACATATTACATGTTATATTTATATATTATAAAAGTATTATATATAATACTTTTTTTCTTTATATATATATAAAGTTTTTTCTTTATATATATATATAAAATTGATTTTTTACAGAGAGGAAGGGAGAGAGATAGAGAGCCAGAAACATTGACCAGCTGCCTCTTGCACATCCCCTACAGGGGATGTGCCCACAACCAACGTATATGCCCCTGACTGGAATCGAACCCGGGACCCTTCAGTCCGCAGACCGATGCTCTACCACTGAGCCAAACCTGTTTCGGCTATAATATTTTTTTTGATTTCAGAGAGGAAGCAAGAGGGAGAGGGAGAGATTGAAACATCAAGATTCAATGATGAGAGAGAAACATTGATCTGCTGCCTTCTGCACTCCCCACACTAAGGATCAAGCCTGCAACCCAGGCATGTGCTCTTGACCAGAACTGAACCAGGACGGTTCAGTTCACTGAGCCAAATCAATTAGGGCTATAATCTATATATTTATGGTTCAAGACAGGGTATTCACACCTGACTACTATTGTTGTGTTCGCTGTTGTCATTTTTTCATTCCACAATGTAAGAGAAAAGAGATCATTGCCCCTAACTAAATACTCAGGTATTGCATATTTTAAAAATTCTTGTGGCGCACGGGTTGAAAATCGCTGGAGTAAAGAATAGAGAAGGAAAAGGTGCTATGTTGTATGTGGTAGTTGTTAACAATAACGAGGAAATAAGGATAATCAAAATTGCACAGTAGGAAAGTAGCTAAATAAGTCACCCATCACCCTTATTATGGAATATAGGTCCCTAAAGAAAGATATGCACTGGAGAGCACGGAAACCTAGTTAAGATATAATAATGTGGAAAAGTCAGATTACAAAGCAGTATGTTCCATTTATGTAAAAGAGTGTGTGTGTGTGTGTGTGTGTGTGTGTGTGAGAGAGAGAGAGAGAGAGAGAGGGAGGAGAGTGAGGAAGTCTAAAAGGACATAGCAAAAATGTTTAAAGAAGACATATTATCTGATTCAGGTACCTTTTCACATTATTGAAAAAGTGAAACATTCTGTAATATCTGAATCTTTCAAATTAATGTGTTACTTTTGTTATTTAAATAATAAACCAATTCCCATCTTGAAACCAAGAAGGGTTTGCAATCCCAGCCCATCTGTCCCAAGGCCGTGGCACAGGGAGCAGTGGTGTCCAGCAGGGACGTCGGCGTGGAGCTGACCGCCTACAAGTGCGAGGGTGCCCCGTGGCAGGGGGGCACAGGCCTGGCACAAGCAGGGATGCAGTCACAGCGTGAGGCCTCGGCCAGCAGCCGGGTTCTGGTAAGTGTAAGGCTGAGGAAGCTGGGCAGGAGGCTGGGAGCCAGGGGTTTGTCTCCCAGGGGTAGCGGGTCCTTGGAACTTGGAAGAGAGGGCCTTAAGGGCAGCCACCTGCAGGAAGATCTCATACTTCAGTGTTTCTGCACAGCCATCTGCATCCTGCCCTCATAACGTTTGCCATACTCACTTCCCACCGTAATATTTCCTATCTCACATGTGTATCCCAAAATTACTTTGAACTTACTTGTATTTTAGAAGGACTCTTTTGATGGCTACTGTTAGTGGAAAACTGATATCCTATGCCATAAACAGGCGGTAGCTCTAAGAGTAAAAACAATGAAAAACGATGATATTAGACTTGTCAGATGTTTCTGCCTGCCAAGTCTCGGAGCCTGAAGCTGCACTCCACTGCTCTGCTCATTCTCATTCTCTCTCTCTCTCTCTCACTCTCTCTCTCTCTCTCTCTCTCTCTCTCCCTCTCATTTTGTTAAAGGAAAAAAAAAGAGGAGGGATTAGTAAATACTAAAGACATAGAAATTATAATGTAAGGCTTTCTCTTTGCAATCAGAAGGGTTAAAAAAAAACACACACACATAAAAAGGTCTTGGTCTCTCACAGTGTATCTCCCAAAGTCACCAGAAGTAGTTCCCATCCAACATGTGGGGAACACAGCATTCCATCTCCTCAGACAAAGGAGCGACACGGTTCAATGTGGAGAACACCGGCCAGGCCCCAGGGGGAGCTGGGCAGGCCGCTGGTGTGCTCTCATACGCAGCTCCCGTTCAGTGAAATGGGGGGTTGGCCTGGACCATAGTAAAGGTCCCTCCTAACTGCCCAAGAGGGAGTTACCACAGGACCCTGTAGCCTGCTTGGGGGTCTGCTTCCCTCACCTCCAGAATTTGACCTCAACAAGTCTAGTCTGCATGCTGGCCGCTGCTCGGACCCCGAGGAGTCAGCCAGGCCTGCTCCCTGTCCCCAGGGGGCTCCGGTCGGCCAGCCTCTGGCTTTCTGCCTGGGTCAGCCGGGCAGAGCTTCAAGGAGGAGTGACCATTTCAAAGCAGCTGCACAGGACGGATGCACTGGAATTGACCGGAGGAAAGGGTGTTCTAAGGGAAGGAACATTTAAGGTCAGGGAATTGTCTAGAGATGTGACAGTTATCGGGAGGGGCTGGAGACATGTGTCTGGTCACGCCCTGAAGCTACTGGGAATGACCCACAGAGCTGATGGTTAAGTTCCCAGGAATTCTGAGAGCCAGTTATTAAATGCAGACCTTGGTGGGAGCCAAGGTCAGTGTTCACACCAGAAATCAACAGACCTAACATCCAGGAGTGTTGTTGCTGTTGCTGAAGAGTGAGTTTTCCAAGAACACCAGTAATGGTCTCTCACAGAGGGCACCACAGGGGCAGAAAAGGCGATCCCCTTTTAGTGAAGTTGCTCAGGCTGGCAAACGCTTGGTAGCCTCTGAGAAATGCCTGCCAAGCCCTCTTTCAGAGACCATAAGCTCACTGCTGTGCTCCTCACAGGTCTCTGAGATGCCCCCTGAGAACCACCATCTCTGCAACATCAAGGTGGGTGGCTCCGGGACCCCCTGCCCAAGCGCCCCCATTCCCCGCGGACTGATTCCCAGGTGTCCAGAGAATGGAACCACACCCTCCAGTCCCAGGGGCACGCGGGGATGCGGGTGGAGCCCTGCTCCCGTCAGCTCTGCACCCTGACATTCCGGGCTCTCCCAGAAGTGAACTCGGACCACAGGGCTTAGACCTGGTTCCAAGCCAGGAGACAGCTGCCTGTGGAGAAAGGGGGTCCTAACGCCTTGGGTTCCAGCTCTCCCCGCACCCACTCACCACTCTCTTTCCTCAAACCTCCCCGGTGCACAGTGCTACATCGACGGCCCTTACGGAACCCCCACCCGCAGGATCTTCGCCTCTGAGCATGCGGTGCTCATCGGGGCGGGCATTGGCATCACGCCCTTTGCTTCCATCCTGCAGAGCATCATGTACAGGTGGGTGGCCTGCAGCAGAGTCCTGAGAGGCTCCTCCCCTCTTCTTCTCCCCTCCCCCATCCCTTCTCTCCTTTCAGTATCTCCCTTTCCCCCTTTCTCTCTTTCCTCCCCTGCTCACACAGCCTCTTTTTTTCAGGGTGTCATCCCTCTCCTTTCTCATAAGGTGGGTTCTGTCACCCCATCCTCCTTCCCTGTCCCCTGCACTGTGCTTCAAGGTCCTAAAAAGTCTCCTACTCATCCCAAATTCAAAACCCCTGCTCCTGCCTCCCATAAGGTACCAGAAGAGGAAGCACATTTGCCCCAACTGCCAGCACTGCTGGATGGAGGGCATCCAGGACGATGACATGAAGCTCCACAAGGTAAGCATGGCCCTCCGCAGCAGGCCTGAGCCCTCTCCCTGGGAGGCCGTCTGGAACAGGAGCCGGGCCCTCCTGTGCAGGGATAGGGAGGGACAGGTGATCTCTCCCCTGCTGGGATCTGCTGGCCCCTACCCTTCCCCCGGTGCCGTGCATTTCCTAATGCCTCCAAAGTGTCCAGGCTTCCCCCTTCCATCATCCCCATCACCCCTGAGAGATGTTCTGATGACAATATCTCATTAAAGACCAAGGAATTTGAAAGTCAGACAGTCTGGATCCAGTTATAGCCATGATGCTACTAGCCATCACCTAGTGGTGGTTTTTAAAATGAAAACATTTGCCTGTTGAAATTTTATTATTTTGACTAGGCCACTTCAAAGAATTTCTTTATTAAAAATATATTTTTATTGATTTCTGAGAAGAATGGAGAGGGAGAGAGAGATAGAAACGTCAATGAGGAGAGAGAGATTCATTGACTGGCTGCCTCCTGCATGCCCCCTTCTGAAGATCAAACTCAAAACCTAGACATGTGCCATGACCTAGAATCAAACTGTGGCCTCCTGGTTCATAGGTCAATGCTCAACCACTGAGCCATGCTGGCCAGGCAAGAATTTCTTTAAAAATAAGTACTGTTTCCCTAGCCAGTGTGGCTCAGTTGGTTGGAGCATTATCCCATACACCAAAAGGTTGCATTCTCAGGGCACATACCTAGGTTGCAGGTTCAATCCCAGTCAGGGTGTGTACAGGAGGCAACAGATTGATGTTTCTCTCTCCCTCTGTTCCTTCCCCTCTCTCTAAAAATTAATAAAAACATATCCTTGGGTGAGGATTTTTTAAAATCTATATAATAAAGAGGTAATATGCAAATTGACCCTTATGACCTCACACAAGATGGCTTCCTCCATATGGTAAAAAATGGCCACCCCCATGTGGTCAAAGATGGCTGCCATAAGATGCTTGGCAGGGGAGGGTAGTTAGGGGAAACTGGGCCTGCATGGGAGGGAGGGCAGTTGTGGGGGGGGATCAGGCCTGCAGGGAGGGAGGGCAATTGGGGGCAACTGGGTCTGCAGGAAAGGGAAGGAAGTTGGGAGAGGGGGGACCAGGCCCACAGAGGAGGGCAGTTAGGGTGACCAGGCTGGCAGGGGAGGACAGTTGGGAACAACTAGGCCAGCAGGAGAAGGCAGTTGGGGGCAACTGAGTCACTAGGAGAGGGAAGTTGGGAGCAATCGGGTCAGCAGGGGAGCAGTTAGGATCAGGCTGGCATGCAGGTGAGCGGTTAGGAGCCAGCAGTCCCGAATTGTGAGAGGGATGTCCCAGATTGGAGAGGGTGCAGGCTGAGCTGAGGGACACCCCCTCAAATTTTGTGCACTGGGCCTCTAGTAAATAGATAAATAATGTTTTTCTGGCTGTCCTATGCTTAAGATCTCAGTACATTGCTCGGTGTAACAATAGACTTTTACAGAAAATCCTGGCCCAATAGTCAGGAACCTGGGATCTGGTCCCATGCTGCTCTGTGGCCTAGTCAAGGCTCCTCACCTCTGTGAACCTCAGTTTCCCCCTCCTTAAATAGGGATGATAATGTGTACCCTGGTCATGCCAGGGTAGATATACAGGCCTTGGAAATCAGACATGAGCTGTGAACTTGGTAGGCCCCGCCTCAGAACCAAAGGGCCCTTCTCTCTAGGTGGACTTCATCTGGATCAACCGAGACCAGCGGTCTTTTGAGTGGTTTGTGAGCCTGTTGACCAAACTGGAGATGGACCAGGCCGAGGAGCCTCAAGAGGGTAAGAGAGGGACAGAGCCTGAGGTGGGTGGGAGGGGGGCTGGGCCTTCGTGAGAAGGTGTTTAGATTTTTCTATTTCTATAAAAACTGTGTGTGGGGAAGAGGTCTGCTTTTACTTTCCACTTAAATGTAACATTTTGTGAAACAAAAAATAAAGGAGAAAAAAATCATTCACAATCCATCCAGCTATCTTGTCTATTCCAGGCATTTTAAAGGATTTCTTTCTGGTATTTTTTATTCATATTTTATAAAAATGTATGCTCTTCTTTTTTCTAATTTCTCTTTTTCATGACATTTCTTTTCATTCAAAATGAGTACTTGTTGAAAATTTAGATTTCTAGACCTCACCTAAGAACTTCAAAGCAAATTCTCTGGGTGGAGGCCCAGGAACAAACATTTTAACATACTTCTCAGGTGATTCTTAGTCATACCTTTTTTTTCTTCTTTTTAAAATATATTTTATTGATTTTTTTTACAAAGGGAAAGGGAGAGGGATAGAAAGTTGGAAACATTGTTGAGAGAGAAACATCAATCAGCTGCCTCTTGCACACTCCCCACCGGGTATGTGCCCGCAACCAAGTACATGCCCTTGACCAGAATCGAACCCGGGACCCTTGAGTCCATAGGCTGACGCTCTATCCACTGAGCCAAACCAGTTAGGACTAGTCATACCTTATTTTTTTTTTAAAAAATTATTTTATCCCTACTGATTGCTAGTCCTTTATTTATTTATTTTTATTAAACTTATTGGGGTGACATTTTTCTGGTTGTTTAAGGTGAGAAAGTAAATATGGTTCTTTTTGTCCAACATACATTTTTAATGTACATAAACAGTTAGTAGAAATGAACATGTGAATAAGCACATATATGTATCGGGGTTGAATGCTCAATATTTTTCCTGATGCAGTGGCAATAAGAATGTTTTAAGAGTGTCCTAAGATAAAGATTAAACACCTTAGCATATATGAGTTCTTTTACTATTTAGGCCCTTTTTTTATACTTTCATCAAAAATGAATGTTTCAAATGTCCTCCTCCAGCCCCTGCAGTGTGCCCCTACCCCACCCAAGTGTACATTCTGCACTATTCACTAAGCCAGTGCTTCATGTGTATGATGACACGCTTCTCTGGATTATATCATAGCCTTCATGGGACACCTTTGTGGGATGCTGATGTTTTGACCCGTGTCCTAAAGTTAATCTGTTAGCTTCATTATTATTTTTTAAAATATATTTTAATTGATTTCTGAGAGGAAGGGAGAAAGAGAGAGACAGAAACGTCAATGATGAGAGAGAATCATTGATCAGCTGCTTCCTGCATGCTCCACACTGGGGATTGAGCCCATAACCCGGGCATGTGCCCTGACCGGGAATAGAACCATGACCTTCTCCTGATTCATAGGCCAATGCTCAACCACTGAGCCATGCTGGCTGAGCAGCTTCATTATTCCTGTTTCATTTTGTTTTACTTGTGGGATAACTTATACAAGAAGGAATATCTTTAGATCTGTTTCTAACGTCAAGAGAATTACATGGTGTTTTTGTTTTTTGTTTTTTAATACTAATTGAGTTTATTGGAATTAGATCTTATTTGGCTGCTTAGCTATCACAAGGTTGCCATAAGTAAATTCAAATTTCAATAATAAACATAGTTTATAAGTTCAAGTAATCAAACATCGTTTTCTGCAGGAAACACTCAAACAGATGTAGCTTACTATAGCAAATATCTAAAGCCTTAAAGCCAAGTCACCAGTCTTTGGGAGATAACTATTAAACCTCGGAAGGTTGTGGTAAAGCTCCTTGCCCTTTCTTGTAAATAATAATTACAGCAAATATTTACATAGCATCAGTTTGTTTTGAACGCTTTTGTGCGTGTCCATTCATTAGAAACTGGATTTTTACGATGTAAGTAAGCAAGGGGAAAAGTTTAGGTTTAATTTAAATGTCTAGTTACTGGTATATAAATATTTACTGTTTGCTTCTTCCTGATCCATATAAACAAAGACTACCAGCTAGCCCAGTGCTTTCCATGAGTCAACACCTGTATTACCTTAAATTATGGCCTCTGGTTTTTAATTTTATACTGAGGTTTAAGTTGAAGAATTTGCAATTTTTCATTTTTAATTTCTGTAGCTTACGCTTCAATCATTCTGTTGGGTTTGAATCTTTATCCCATAGTAGCTAAGAAGCTTGGGCACATGATTTCACTGCTTTGCTCCAGTTTCTTCATCTGAAAAATACGGATACAAATGGATTGTTGTGCGGATTAAGTGAGATATCATATAAGCAGCACTGACAACAGTGGAGCTTAATAACTGCTCAGTAAATGTAGTAGAAATGGTAGTAGTAGTAATGGTAGCTGCTCAATAAATTTAATAGTAGGAGAAGTAATAAAACTCAATAAATTTAATAATAGCAGTAGTCGTATTTAATGGCTATTCATGAATGATATAGTTATTCACAAATATTTTAACCGAGCTTTTACTACTGGACATTTTGTTTATTCCGAGTTCTCCACCACCATAAGTAAAGCTGCAATTAACATATATGTGCACATAGTGGGGGCTTTTTCTCCTTCCTTTGGATGGTTTCCTTAGGAGAGTGGCCCAGAAATGGGATGACTATCTCAAACTCAGCTGTTTAAGGATGGAGAAACTATGTCAGGTCCCTCCCACACGGGGTCTCTTTCTCTCTTCTCTTCCCCTTCTCTGGGATGTGGTGACTCTAAGAGGGTGAGGAGGGTCAGGCCTCTCCCAAACAGGCATCTTTTGTAGTCCATCGCCCTCCCGCACCACCCAGGACTCCTCACGTTCACCGATATGTGACATAAAATGTGGTATCCCTTCTAAGGCCATTTACATTTCAGAGACCTTAGGCCAACGGGAAATGGGGTGAATGGTGCCAGATGAAACCATCGAGAGCTAGTTGAGAATTGCACAATCCTTTAGACTGGGGGAAGGTGAAGGATGCTGTGATCAGCCCATGAATCCAACAGCCTGGATGGGGCCCTGCCACTTCTGACTTTGTTGGGATGCACAGGCCCTCGTGGTACCATGGAAAAGGGTCACATCTGTATGCCTTGTCTGGGAAAACAGAGGAAGGAGCCTGAACAAGAGCTGCCCAGCTGGGAGCTCCCAGGGTCCTGAGGGCCGAGAAGGGTCAGACCTCAGCTCACCTGTCCCATTGCATGCAGCTCACGGAGGCTGCTCAGACCTGATGTCTCCATGATGTCAGCCTGGCCCTCTGACTCCCCTTTCTGTAGCTGTTTCCAACCTGCCATGCTCGGCTCAGGTCCCCTCCACCTGCCCCCATTTCCTACCTTGGCACGCAAGACCTGTTGCGTTCTAGCCTCAGAGGGCCCAGTCCCACCGTCTGCTGCTCCTGTTCAAGGATCCTCTGCTCCGGTCAGGCAGTCACCTCATGCCCCACAACCACCAGGTTTGTCCCATCCCCTTGCCCTTGGCTCTGGCTGGTTTCCCTCCTCAAGATGCCTTGCTTCCATCTCCTCTTTGAGTCTTGCCTCTCTTCCAAGACCTCACCCAACCCCCACCCTCCCGGGGAGCAGCTGCACCCCAGCCCTCTTCTGCGGAGCAGTAGCATTTGCCATCATCCTCTCCCTCAACCCTTGGCCCTTTGGTCTCAGTTACCATTTCACGTGTCCCCAACCTGCCTGAGCAGCCGCCATGTGGAACTGAAGGGCCTACACTTCGGAGCCCAAGGACGGCCACAATGCCTGGGATTGACTTTCCCTCTAGAAACAGAACCTCTGGGTGGTGGTGAGGCTCACATGAGACATGGAATATGAACCAACTCGTGTATGTGGAATGCAGAGCAGGCCCAGCTCAAGCAGTGGGCTCATTCCTGTTTACAGCACGTGGGGGTCCTGGGTGAGCCCGGTGGCTGCAGGTGTGAGCTCCAAACCCTCTTGGAGTCCCTCCAAGCCCCAGGGCGAGGTGACTGACATTCTGTGCCCATCACAGCCGCTGGCCCTTCAGCGCCACCCTCTCCTCCCACCACTAGGCCGCTTCCTAGAGCTGCACATGTACATGACCTCCGCGCTGGGCAAGAACGACATGAAGGCCATCGGCCTGCAGATGGCTCTGGACCTCGTGGCCAAGAAGGAGAAGAAGGACTCCATCACGGGCCTCCAGACGCGCACCCAGCCAGGGCGGCCCGACTGGAGCAAGGTAAAGCCTGCTGGAGTCACAGCCCGCAGGGACCCGTGCGGCCGAGAGCCTGAGTGGGTGCCGGGTAGGTTAGGGCCCAGCAGCCAGGGGCAACGCATGAGGCTGGCATCTGGAGTCCAGCCAGGATCGCAGGCCTGGGTCTGGAGGCAGGGGACGTACTCTGGCTCCATCACTCGCTCACTCTACTCCATGATTAGCCTCAGTTTCCCCCTCAGTTTAGAGAGGAAGTTAGTGTCCCTTTGACTTCCAAGGTCTCCCCAGCTATGACTCCAACACCCCCCCACACACACACACACAAATGAACCAGTCAGAAGGCCCAAAGGGACAGCATCTGTGTCTTATCCCTTCCTGTGCAAATGGGGGGAATGAGGCCCAGGGACACAGGATAGTTTGCAGCCCTCCTATTTTATTTCTCGGGTTGGTTTTAGTTTTCTTCCTTGAGTGCTTACCAATGGGGGGGCCCAGAAAGTACTGCTTTTCCAGTTGCTGCCGACACTCTGGGCCCAGGGAATGGGAACTGAGGGGGAGCGGCTACCAGTGGTGCTCAGGCACCAAGAGGACTTCCACAAAGGCAACTCTTAAGCAGAATCTGGGGTGGGTAAGGGTCCCCACTGGGGAAAGAAGCCTGGCTTCAGGAGAGACATTTCAGTGGGGGCGTGGGGCCAGCTGGGGGACAGCATGAGGTTCGAGGCAGCAGGGGTCAGCATGCCGCTCAGGGCTCTGTCATTGTCCTCCAATAGTTGGGGGGAGGAGGGTGTCTCCTTCTCACACACAGCTCCTTAGCAAAGGCCCGGGTCTCACTTTTCTCTGGCCCATCCCCTCCCTGGGGTGGGGGTCAGGTTATGGGTAGAGCAATGGCTCCTAAAGAATGGCTGCCACGTTACACTCTCTGCTCTGAAGTCAAGCAGATGAGTCTTGGCATTCTTCTTGGGGACAGACAGATGGCCATGGCTGCCACTGCCAGCACATGGCATTGATGGCTTCAGATGGGTGTGTCACAGGGTGGGCCCACAGTCCCACCTCTCCTCCCTCTGTCCTTCCCCAACCCCGTGGACTCCAGGTGTTCCAGAAAGTGGCCGCTGAGAAGAAGGGCAAGGTGCAGGTCTTCTTCTGCGGCTCCCCAGCCCTGGCCAAGGTGCTCAAGGTCCACTGTGAGCAGTTCGGCTTCAGATTCTTCCAAGAGAACTTCTAGCCCCGCCTCCCCGAGCCCCGCCCACTCCACCAGCCAGTGAACCATCGCCTTGCACCGTGCGCCTCAGGGACCAGCCTCCCATAGCCACTCAGAGATCAGCAGGCCCCACGGGCAGGTGGACTTCCTGCATAAGGGGGTGGGATGCGGGGTTTCCAGGGCAACTGCTCCTCCAAAAGTACAACAGGGGTCCTTCCTAGACCTGCCTAATCATCACAACCACTCGGGAAACATCTCCCCCACCGCTTTATTATGGACTTTTTCAAATATACAGAAAATTAAGGGAATTGTATAGTGAACAGTGTTATCTGCTCTCTAGATTCCTCAGCTAACATTTTGCTATATTTGCTTTATGACGTATTATCCACCTGTCTCTCCCTCTACCCACCTATCAGTGCACCTTCCTTTTCTGATGCCTTTCAAAGCACACTTTGCCACTCAGAGGACATTTCTTTAAATGTAGATCCCTGGGTCCCACTTCCAGAAATTCTGATTCCGAAGTTCTGGAGATGAGACCCGGGGTGTGTATTTTATCCAAAATGTATGCTTTTGGGAGAGGTAAGCAGCATCTTTTCTTTACCTTTCTCTCTGTCACTGACCTCCCATCATCTCTATGTGTGCCCTTGTCCTCTCGCTCTCTCTCCGCCGAGAGTGTCCCTCCGTGTCCCTCATTGCTCTGCATGTGGGTCTCTCCCTTCCCTTAAGTACTGAGTCCTTAGAGAAAAGGATGGAGATGGTGCCCGTGTGTCTGTGGGGTCACAGAAAGGCCTTGTGCTGGGGATCAAGCCGGGTTGTGGCTTGAAGCTGAGCTCAGCCACACCCCAGCTGTACGGCCCTGGCGACCTCTCTGGGTCTGTTTCTTCATCTGAAGAACGGGACTGAGGACCTCTCCCAGCCACGACTGAAAGTGAAGTGAGACATCACCGTCAGTGCTCAGGACGTTCGTCTTCCATCCTGTGGTTCTTTATCGCCACAGACGTTGTCTCTGCATCCTCCGGCTGTGTTGTGGCTCCCTCTATCACTGTGTTCTGGCCTCTGTTTGCATCCGTCACTGTCCAGAGACAGCAGATGCAAAAGCTTTCCTAGGAGACACTTTGGGAGAAGAGGCTGTGGGCTTGGTGGGAAGTAGGAGGGCTGGCCTCGCCTCCTTGGATCTGAGCTGCCCCACACTGCAAGCCCCTGTGAACCCCGCGGTTCCTGGGCAGCCTCCGCCTTGTAGCTGGTCTTGCCAGGCTGTCTTTAATGTGATAGACTAACACACTCATCCCCCAAACGGCCCTCACGGGGTTGGGATCAGGCGCTTGGTAATGGGATTGTAGAATGTGCCTTTCTTTCCCACGGGTTGGGTTGGAGGAGAACAGGAAAAGAGGTCTTTGCCCTCTGAAGGCAGGGCCCTGGGCTCCACATTTGCCTCTGCCCCGGTTCTAAAATCCATGTGTTGGTCTTGTGACCCAGTGTGTCCAAAGGCTTTCTCTCCAGATATATCCCAGTTGCCCACTAGAGGGCGATGCAGAACCAGGGATCCCAGGAGGAGTTGTTTGCTGGGAAGGAGACTGCTTCCTGAGCGGCAGTGAATCAAAGGCAGGCCAGAGAGGACCGGGCCTCACCCCAAAGCTCTGAGCTGGAGACAATACCCTCAGGCCCAATCTCAGGCAGAACTGTTATGGCAAGAGAGTTCATTTTCAAGGTCTCTAGCTGCCAGCTCCTCATGCCAACACACAAATGCATGCACACACACACACACACAAACCTGCTGCCATACACACACACACACACACACACACACACACACACACACACACACACACACGCCCCTCCCTTGCTGACACCCAGTGACCAGGTTCTGGCTTTCCCTCTTTCCCATCTGCAAGTCAGGACAGGCCTAGCTGGGGAGAGCTGTAGGCCCAGGCTCTGCCATCTCGTGTCATTGTAGGGGGCGGGATTAAATAGCTGGTGTACACAGATCACACCGTCTGTCTGCCTGGATGGTTCCCAGATGTCCACATGGTGCCGTCCTACTGCCAGCAAGAAGCAAATCCATCCACATGGCTGGCTGACTTTTCTCTGTTCACCCAGATGTTGGCAGGGCTGTAGACACATCTGGGCCCAAGATGGCTACGGCTGACACACACAGGCTAACTTCAGACACAGGTGTGTGCTGTGAGTCTCCCAGGGTCAGGCCTAAGGTCCCAGAATCTAGCGCAGAGGGAGGAGCAATAGGCCTGATGCAGACACCAGTTCCCACCAAGTCCAGGGGTTGCTTACATGGAATTATCCTTGGGAAGGGGCCTCTGTATACAACTGTCGGGTGTAATCTGAGAACAAAGGTGCAAACACAGCTCACTGAATGGGTCTCTTTGCCAGGTTCCAGGACGCTGGTCTGCTGTCAGGACAGCTCTGACAGACACAGCAGTCATTAGTGAAACAAACAGGTAGGCAGGTCCCGGAACAGACAGCACACGTGTAGCCTGTGAATCACTGAGGACGCACAGCCTTCCTGGGAGGGGAGGGTGACACAGGCAATAGTGAGAAGTGTCGTCGCTTTGCAGACCAGGCTGGGTTAGGAAGGGAATAGAGACACCAGCCGGGACTGGCTGTGGGCAAACGCCTTGGAGATGTTCAGTGGAAAGGTCTTTGCCCTCTGAAGGCAGGGCCCTGGGCTCCACATTTTCCTCTGCCCCAGTCAGCTGTGTGACCTTGGATATGCCCGTGACCGCTCTGAGCTCTCACTTCCTCATCTATACAATGAGCAGGTGAAGGATATGTGTGTTTACATGTTAGCAGATGCGTAATCGTTTCTTCAAAGATACACAAAATATGTTCATTCATCTCTTTGCTCTGAAGAGTGGGAATTGGAGGGACAGGAGAAAATGGTTTTGTCTTTGGTGTTTATTTTACTTTTATTTCTTCCTTTCTTTAAAGTTTGAAGTTTTATACTTTTATTTTAAAAAAAAGAAATCCAAAATAGAATGTTAGATTTAAAAAAGGTACCAAATGTTGCTATGGTTCTATTCATGTAACAAAATATAGACTGTGTGTGTACCGTACCTAGGATAAATAGATAGAAATGCGTTGGAAGAGAGCGAGAAAGAGACACATCAATTGGTCCATGGTGGTCAACTGTGGAGGTGGTAAAGGAGTACTTTAGCGTTTTTCTCTTTTCTGTTTCATATACGTATGTACTTCCCATGTAATATTTCATAATATAGAATTTTTACACCATGCACTTCATGTATTACTCATGTGATATTTTACTCTTTTATACGTATGTACTTCCCATGTAATGTTTCATAATATAGAATTTTTACACCATGCACTTCATGTATTACTCATGTGATATTTTACTCTTTTATACGTATGTACTTCCCATGTAATGTTTCATAATATAGAATTTTTACACCATGCACTTCATGTATTACTCATGTGATATTTTACTCTTTTATACGTATGTACTTCCCATGTAATGTTTCATAATATAGAATTTTTACACCATGCACTTCATGTATTACTCATGTGATATTTTACTCTTTTATCTTAGGTTATGGCCTGAGTACATTTTTAAAAAGAATAAAACAAATTGGAGAGATTGTCTGAGGTGTTGTCTATGAAAATTCCCTCATGTTCATTAGTTCTCAAATGAAAGCTTCAGACACATCTGGGGCGGTGGGTCTGCCCCCTCCAGCTGGGGGGTCTCTTCTGGAATGTGAGGCTGCCACAGCGCCCCTACTCAATACACAAAGCAGCCCGCTTCCGAAGGTCTAAATATTAAAACAAAGGCCCCTCCCAGGCCCAGCGGCCATCGGCACTCAGGGGGGATGTTGCACACAGGCCTGGGCCAGGCACCTGCCCTGCCTCACAGGGCAGACACCTCAGGGCAAACTCTCGCTGCTACACAAATACTCACATTAACCAGCCTTCCTGATAGACTGAGGCGTCTTTTCACAATCTGTCTTTACCATATGATGACGTTCCCCTTTTGAAAATAAGATGAATTCAAACAAGATATTTATCTATGGGGAAATCCATTGGGGGGTAGGGGGAAGAATACCCAATTCCAGCAGAGATGACTGGAAGGAGACTTGCTTCTCAAGGAAGTTTCTAGCCTCCTAACCTTAGCCAGGCAACCAAACAGGCTACCTGCTCCAATCCTACCCCGGGACAAATGGGGCCATCTTGAATCATCCCAATGTGATGGGAGAAAAGGGTGCATGTTTTGGTAAAAGAAAAAAGTTCTGAGATTCACCTGAACTTGGCTGGATGAGTTTATAAATTCAGATGAAGCTTGTCTTTAACCCCGAAGAAGCTCCAAGGGAAATAATTATTTGTGTCTGCGTCTCTGTGACTAGAATAGTGCTACCACCGTGTGGGCGCTTGGCGGTGCTTTGCGAATGTTTCTGCGCCCGTGAGCCCCGTTCAGCCGGTGGCTTCAGGAGGCGCCCTGGACTCCTCTGCTCCCTTATTCTCCTCCCACAGTCAATCACCAAGCCCTCTCAATGGGACATCCTACATGTTTCTCAAATGCCTTTTCCTTCCTATTGGCCCTGCCTTGGTTCTGTCCATAACTTGCCTTTTGCCTGGACTATTGCATCCACCTCCTGACTGGTCTCCCTTCCCCAGCCTCTTTCAGCTCCTATCCATCCTTCACACTGATGATCACACACTGCCTGTTGGGTTGAGAAGGCTAAAAAGGGCTAATTCCAATGTAACACTAATATTTGGGGGCTAGCGGTTTGAATCCATGCCAGCAAGCTCAGTGTACATTCTTTTTTTTTTTTTTAATATATTTTATTAATTTTTTTTACAGAGAGAAAGGAAAAGGGATAGAGAGTTAGAAACATCAATGAGAGAAAACCATCGATCAGCTGCCTCTTGCACACCCGCTACTGGGGATGTGCCCGCAACCAAGGTACATGCCTTTGACCGAAATCGAATCTGGGACCTTTCAGTCCGAAGGCCAACGCTCTATCCACTGAGCCACACCGGTTTTGGCTCAGTTGTACATT